AAGGAAGGAAGGAAGGAAGGAAGGAAGGAAGGAAGGAAGGAAGGAAGGAAGGAAGGAAATTCAAAGTAATTTTATTAGATTAGGGAAGTGGGCTGAAAGTAATAGAAACACAGATGCAAAGTTTTTCACTTAAGAAACAGAAGTCAAATGCACAGATATAGAATGGAGGATGCTTGTCTTGGTAATAATATTTGACAAGAAATGGGTCTTGAAACAATAGCTGATTATCAAATGAATGTAAGTCAGATTGCATTGTGGCAATTAAAAGTTATATGCAGTTTTATACTGCATCAACAGATGTATTGTTTCCAAAGCACAGAAAGTAATAGTTCATTTTGTTCTGGTAGGTCATAAGGCGCCTTGAATATTATGTCCACTTGCAGGCACCATACTTAAAGAAAGAATCAGAAAACTAGAAGTGGTCCAGGGAAGCACAATAAGGGTGAATGGGAAACTAGAAAATAGAGTGGAGGAACAGGGAATGTTTAGTCTTGAAAAGAGGAGACTGAGAGAGGTTATGACAGGCACTCATGCCCTAGTCACCTCACAGTTGAATTATTGCAGTGAGTTCTATATGGGGCTGCCCCTGAAGACCACTTGGAAGCTATAGCTGATGCAGAATGCAGCAGTGTAGGGAATGTTGAGCATGCCTTGGTATGCCTATGTGACTGCCCTGCTCTGCAAGCTGCCCTGGGTGCAATTTAAGATGCTGGTTATATCACCTATGAAGGCCTTCATGACATGATACAGACTGCCTAACTCCATGGTTTCTGCCCCTCCAATAAGATTAGATAGAGTTGGTGTGCTTCAGGACTCTTTAAACAAATATTGCCAGCTATCAGGACCAAGGAAGTGTGATTTCTCTGCTGTCTGGAATGGTATCCCCCAGAAATTCATGTTGCTCTTACCGTAATTATGTCCCAGAGATCTGTGAAAACATGGCTGTTCTACCAGATCTTTGGGTATGGTGGTTGTAGAGCCCTGTCAATGTTTTGTTATGTGGGATATTAATGTTCAGATCCTCTAGTTGCTGTTTACTATTTTTTTCTGTTTTAAATTGCAAGCTACCCAACATCATTCTGAAGTCAGGCAGCTTCCAAATCCAATAAATAAATAAATTACTACATAGCCATCTGTTGGGAATGATTTAATTTGAATTTCTGAATGAAGCATGGGATGGTCTAAACTCTACAATTTTAAAAAATTAAGAGTGATTGAAAAGTAAATGTTAAATAACTTTAAGGAATTTTCTCAAAAATTTGGCACTGTGACATGTCTGCAGTTCAGTCTCTTGATACCACTTCTATAGTACTCTATAATAAGTGATGGTTGTATGATTACATAAAGACAGTTATTGCCAAGTAACAAAAACCCAGACAGCATAGTATTAATTGATCTCATTTAAGATCATTTGTTTGATACACTTGTAGTAATGGTTAAGGGATTTATTTTTTTTTTATTTAGCAAATCTATATGGCCATTCATCTTAACAAGCAACTCTTTTAATATGTTAAAATGTATCTGTTCCTTTGCAAATATATTGCTTATTGAGTTCCTAGCTTCTACCTAATGGTTCCAAAGTTTATTGGGCCTGGTATTAGGTGAAATAAGGAGCACACCATTAATGTTCAATTACAATGCTTTGAAATCAGACAACGAGGCACCATTGGCACAGCCCCAGGAAGACATTCTGTACTGAGATACAAATCAGAGCTGTAGTTTATAACAGCTAACATGAAACTCATTTTAATACCTTGGATGCTTAGCTTGTTGTCCAATCAATTTGTCAGTTCAATTTTACAAGAGTGCAATGGAGAAAAAGTAAGTTAAGGCTGGCATATATGCAAACAGTCCTGTTGTGTCCTCAAGCATAATATAGTTTCCAATTCATGAGTGAGACACTGTTGAAAAAGCAGCCTGTTAAATTATGCCTATTCCTTTTTGAAGTTATAAGAACATGCCAATTTGATTGATATTTTACAATTATGTTGAATAAATCTAATGTGAAAATGTGAAAAATAAATCATTATATAAAACATGTTTCGATACCAGTTCCACAAGTTGTAGAAGTAATAACTTTGTTTCCAACATTTTTTAAAAGTATGAATGCAGCTAATGGGATGCCTGCGAAATAATATTGTTTCATTTTTAAAAAATATGCAGTTGGTTTGAATTGTCTAGTAGGGTTATTTTTTAATTTAATTTAATTTTATATAAAAAAAGGGCCACATTTCTTGAATGGAAGATCACATTCAATCTGGAAAAGAAGATGTAGCCAGGGCAAAAAGTAGATAGGGCAAAACCATATTTCCCCCCTCCCCCTGAAACTGACTAAGTTCAGTCTGCTCTGATCATAAATTGGTGATGAGGTCCACGATGTGAGTGAGGCTGTATTATACCACTAGGTTTCAGTAGCCAACGACTACCCAAAAGAGATTCCAGAGTCCTGGGGTTTGGTGTATATCATTGGCCTCTAATCAATTCTTTGTTCTGAGACAATCTGAGTTGCGGAATATAGACTGTAATGTTATATGTCTTTTTATTTCTTTACACAAACAGTAAAAATGATTCTGGGCTGCCAAGATTCAACAGTAAATAATTTATTGTCAAAATTTGCTGCAAGCTCCATCACTCCTGAACTTCAATGCCACCACTAATTTTTTAGTAACCAGTAAGAAGAAGACTTGGAGCCCACCCCAAAACCTTTACAGCAGTGTTTCTCAACCTTGGCTACTTTAAGATGGGTGGACTTCAACTCCCAGAATTCCCCACCCAGCATCAGGCTGGGGAATTCTAAGAGTTGAAGTCCACCCATCTTAAAGTAGCCTAGGTTGAGAAACACTACTTTATAGGGTCTATGAGGGCTGTGTGTCATGATTTACCCATACCTGATTTATATGAACAGTGATTAAAATGGCGTTTACAATTTTAATAAACATTTAAAAACCGCTATTAGGATAAATATTGAACAATGCATTATGGTCCAACATCACATTAACTTCCATGAGCTTTCTCGTTGGGTTTTCCAATATAATTTATTTTTAGTTAAACAATATAGTTTATTTTTAGTTTTCTAATTGTATTTTTATGGGGGTTTTATCTAAAAAAAGAAATAACCTAGTATTATTGTTGCCTAACTTCTTCCTTCATATACTGCTTTATTTTCCAGGGTTTCCAATATTCCACAATGCTACTCAAAGTAAATTCTGAATAAAATAGAAAGGAATATTGAAAAACGTAGAAGCTATATTTCCTGTAGTTCTCAGTATTCCCAGATGCCATTGCAAATATTGTGTGCTCAGTAATATCTTAGATCTGTACTCCTGCCATGTTATATATCCAGGTTTTCCTGCAATACCATTTTTTGTCAGTAAATTTGATGAAATGTCCAGCAGTGAAAGTTCCAGTATAGCTGACGTCAACTAAGTGTTTCATTCATTTCAGACTCCATTCAGAACTGGTATTAATTTCCAGACATCCTGTGAGTCTCAACAAATTATTTCAGATCAATATACTTTTTTTACCAGATTTTGGGGTGAACTAACTTGATAGCACTAGGAGAAAGTGCATAATACAGTTCCAGCTAGAATTAATTAGGTTAAATCCTATTAGGTAACACCGCAGCATACATTTCTTTCTACTGTAGATGTGTCAGATTGTTTGTGTTAATTAAACCTTCATATATACTAAAGCTTTAAATGTAGACAAAATGTGAAGGGCTGAGCTAAAGGGAAATGAACATGGTTCACTTCACCTCCAAGTTCTGGGCAACTAAATTAATGTTTTAAAAAAAAAAAAAAGATCTGAAGTAGTATAATTAATATGGGATGAATTCTTGTCTCTCCAGTTCCTTTCTTGTTTACTTTGGCTGCTTATAGGCAGATCTGATATTATTAATTTCCTTTTAACAAGGAAGTTTTGAGTATAATGCAGGATGGATAAAGCATCACATGGAAAACCCCTTAGGTCCAAAACATGTGCTTCTGACTACATATGCAGATTGTGACACTCATTCTCGCTTCCAGCTTCAGTTCAGGATGAATGCCTTCTGTCAAGAAGCAAAGTTTGCTATCCCCTTGTGAGGTACAGCTAACGGTGTTCAGGGCCTCAACCCTGTCATCTGGACTCCCTTTTGGGCTCATTTATGGAGAAAATGTGCCGGAATCAGCCATGGGTAAAAGGAAAGCTCTTAGAGATAAACCTAACATCTAACAGAGTTTCCTAAGCTCTTAGCATCACAAAGCCATATTCTTAATATTGTTCAAACAAAACATTTTAGCTCAGAAAACAGCCATGTCATTGAGTCACATCCTCCTAATTTCACTCTGGCTGCCTGTGTCCTCCTCTTTCTTTTAATTTATATTTACTCCCCATTGCTCCTCGATTTTTATTTTTAGGCTATATCTAGGGCAAGGTCGGGGTTAAATGTGTTACGTTGTAATACTCACAGGAAAGGCCAGACCACAAAAATCAGCAAGATGGTTATTTACCATAACCATATACAAAACCACAAGTAGCAAAGGTTCCCTCAAATACTTCAGAGACCTTATACATCTCTTCATTAAAGCCTGTTAGTGTTGTTACAGTTCACTTTGTCTCAAACTCACAACATGTAAAGATACCTCTTTTAAAATGCCAGTCACTATTTGAAAATGGAGGACAGTTAAGATATTTTTTTGTAGAAAAAAAAATAACTCTTTTTTAAAAAAAAACTAATTTCCAATGATTTTGTTACAGTTCAACAAAGGAGATTCTACTGATAGTGAGCTACAAATTATTTTAATCACTCCTAAGTAATGGAACCAGTCCTGTGATGACTGAGTGAGGGACGTCACCTCTCAGCATTACTCTTACCAAACACCATTAATACATGTGTAAGTAACTGTTTATAGTACGTACACATATAAAAGGAAGAAAGCCTATAAAGTTAACATTTCATAGAAGGGACCAAACAGTTTCTATAGGCTAAGGCTATATATAAAAATTTTGCTACTGCCTTCAAAACACTTGGGTATTGGTCATTTAACAGGAATACCTCAATCTCCTTATCATGTATGGAGTTTATCAGACCCAGGACTGGGTATGTTAACTCTGAACTCCAGTGCAAATACAGTGGGTACTTTACAAGGAGCTGTGAAACAGACTCAACCTCTTTATTTGAGCAGATGCATACTCGATCTTCATATGGAAGATGGGCATATTGACCAACTGTCACTCTAGTAGGAAAAGCATCTATATGAGCTAGGGAGAAGGCCACTCTATATGGGCTGTACAGAATCTTATAGAAGTAACTAGACAACCCATGACCCGTTGGGTCGTTGTTTCAGAGGTATTTCCTTACCAGAAAAACAGAATGACCAAGGGCAAAATAGCAGGGAGAGTGTGAGCGACTTGAGACTTGCTGCTGACTTCCCCATGGACTGCTTGTGGGGAGCTGGCAGGGAGTGTCAGAAATCTCCCTCCCTCC